AATCCGTAAAAATAAATCGTATAAAATAAAAATAAAATCGTATAAAATATATATATATATAATAAAATTAAATAAATACTTATTTTTAAAATGTCAAACTTCTTGAAACATATTGTTGAACAATAAAGATATAATATTAATAATAAAAATTATGAAGAAAATGTATTTTTATAACATTTCGACTGAATTCTATAAGGCGTTCGAATACTTATGTTGCACGAAAATTTGATGTACCTTAACATTTTTTTAATTATGTAGATAATAACGTTTTATACTAAATCGAAAGTTTCTTGCATTTTGACACTTATCATACACTTTAATATACCGTAAAGTATTTTCTCCCTTCAATGTATATTTATTTAAATATGTCGCATCGAAGTCAAAGTTATGCTAGTATCCGAATATTTTCGTTACCCGCTGTATGTACAGTAATGTCTCTCTAACTGACGCTCAGATTCTATACAAAAATGGACAATTTAAGAAGAGGAGATACGATTATACGATATAGTCAACAACTATAAAAACGAGCTGCAAGGCTCGAATAATCGTATCTCCTCATCCTAAATTGTCCATTTTTGCGGACAATCTGTGCGTCAATTAGAGAGACATTACCGTAGCTCGGTTTCCGCACGACCGAAATTATTAATACCCGCTGAACAATTTACTCGAAAAGCTTCTTCGTTGTGAATCGTGGACTCTCGAACGTTACGGAATCATGTAAATAATGTTGTAATTAATCATGCAAATGCTACCTTGCATTTTCATAACGATCGACAGTCTAATCGCTGTAGTTATTCCCGCAAAATGATTCGCGTCACGATATCGAGAGTTTCCTTTTCTGGTTCGGCGAATGATATCGCGATGATTGAACGTTGAAACATTTTTTTACGATTGTTGGCGAACGTGCTGAATCTCGCTATTAACGCCGCGTGTATAATATCGATCTCAGATAAATAGTCCGGTTCGGATAAGATCGTTGATTAATGAGAATTAGGTGTTTCGGACGTGTCAGAAACGTGTCGATTAGCATGATTTAAAAATGGAAATGTGTTCGCTGTAGCGAGATGTGACGGTCCTGTTGACGGTCAAAATTGTTTGCCGAGTATTCTAGTTTCTCTCCTCGTCGAAAATTGCGTCCTCTTCATCTCGAAATTCATCTAATCGTTTGGGGATTGCGTACGCCGGGAGAAGAGATCCTTTGATCCACGCGATCCTCGAATAGCGTGCAGATCAGTCGATCCTCGGAATAATTCAGCTTTTACCTTAACCTAATTGCAATTCTCATCGTAGAAGCTAGTCCCCAGCGAACCGTTTCAACCATTTCATTCTGCTCTTAATCCGGCAGGTATCCTCACGTAAAATTCACCCGGATCCCGCAGCTGGCTTAAAGTAAACCCCCGCCTGTGCTGGTGTCGCAGAGAGATAGTTAACACTAGATTTACGGAGCACTAAGATCAGCTGTTTTATATTCATTTATAAAAATAACAGTAGGATATTTATTCTGATTTTGGAGGAACGTTATTATTGTTATTAATATTTGTCGAAAGCACAATACGTACAGTTGTGTATATTTCATTTCATATATTGCATAGTTTCGAAGTAACTTTCACATTGTTACTGATAACTAAAGGAAAACTGAACGATTAACAGATAACTTAAATTTGTATATTTCTATCCCTTATTATTTCTAATATAGAAATTTTTAATTTATATATTTCTAATGTATAATATAATATAATATAATACAAAAATATACAATTTTGTTAAGTTCTTTTTAAATATGTAGGGTGTAAAGGGGACCACCCACAGTGCTGTGAATAATTGTAAACTCAAATTAACTTCTACATTTTTACTGATATTCAAACAGTAACAAAAAGAAGCTATATTTGTATATTTCTACCCTTTATTATTTCTAATATTGAAATATACAAATATAGTGTATTGTTAAGTTCTTTTTAAATATGTAGGGTGTTTCAGTTAAAGGAGACCACCTACAGTGCTGTGAATAATTGTAAACTCGAATTAACTTCTACATTTTTACTGATATTCAAACAAAAACAAAAAAAAAACCATATTTGTATATTAATTAGCTATTAATTGTAATATAGAAATATTCAAATATGGTGTTCTGTTAAGCTTTTGTTTAAATATCACAAGCAATGTAAATGTTATTTTGAGTCTATAATTATTCACATCGCTCTATATCGAATAAATAACTCGTAAATGTATCTTTGCACAATCTAAAAAATCGTAAATTAAAAGATTAGTGAATTAGTGATCCGTCATTTTGACGGATTTCGTAAATCGAGTGTTAACGAACGCAACAATCTCAGCTAATGTTTTGTCCAAACCTTGTCCTCTAGCGGCATTTATTTTCTCAAACGTAGATCTCCTTATACACAATAAATTCTCTCCAATTGTCCCTCAGCTTCTGAACAAAAATGGACAATTTAGGGAGAGGGGATACGATTATTCGAGCCTCACGACTCGTTTTTATAATCGGCGACTATCCTTTTTTTTCTGAAATTGTCCATTTTTACTTACAAGCTAATGGACAATTGGAGAGAATTTACTGTAATCGAGTTCAATTTCTAACGTTAGGTTCTCTCGTAAAATCCTAGAGCACTGAAAGGACGAAGTCGAATCTCGTTCACCTGACCATTTCTGCACGACGCTCGATTGCTTTAACCATTTCCACTCGGAGTTTAACGCCTTGCCTACCGGAAGTCTACCAATCTTGCTGCAAAACATCCTTTAACAAAGCAACCACTTAAACAGGGAAAAAATGTTACGCAATCTGAATGACGTTCGTGTGTTTTTCAGTGATTGTTCTGTATCAGAATCCTTTTCAACAATAATTCCATTGCGAATTAGATTGTTATGAGTTAGATCGTATCACTCAGAGTTATAGCTCGTGATTAAAATCACCGTTGTGAAGGAATTCGTTGAAATATCCTTACCGACTCCGGAAAGCATTGTTTAGACTGCGGATTTTATGCATTTACGTCGAAAATGAACATGTGGGGCGCAACAGAAGAATTCAAATTTATTGTTCATTCAATTTATTATTTATTGTATGTAATTTCACGATTAGAACTTCGTTCTCAATAGTTTTCTAATACGTCTACGTTGAATATTAACGTCAGATGAATCTAATGTTGTTATCACTGGACTGCGAATTTGATGCATTTACGACAAAATTTGGTGGTTGCAATTTAAAATAGCACGAAGATCAAAAGAATTAAAAAATGTCAAGGTTATATTTTTAACCCCTTGCCGTACCATTTTCTTCATAATTGCAATAATCAGTTGATTTTCGATTGTAATCATTTCTAAGAAGAAGGAAGACAATTTATATTCATTGTGCGTCTACATTTACTGAAATGTTTAAATACTGATGACGAGAAATCAGAATATTATTCAATCAAAAACGAACGGAATATCATTCATACCTGATAGGTTGTTACTAGAAATCTCCATCGCGTGTCAGACTCGTCGAAATATCGCAGCGGTTAATTTATTACAATGATTAATGAAAGAATGAACTTACGATTTAGTTTCGGTTTCTTGCAACTAACTTTTATTTTGCATAAAAACGATTAGATCAGAAACAAAGCTATAAAGACGTCAGCAGAGTTTGAGAATATTTTTATATAATATATTATTATATATTAATGTATATTATAATTATTATATAATATATTAATATAATATAATATATATTATATATATTGTAATATAATATATTATATTATTATTATTATTGTTATCAAAATTATTAAAGTAGGAAAGGCACTTTTGTCCGATTAACGTTCCCGACAATGGACTTGGACAATCGTTATTTCCCTTAAAAATCCGCAGCCAGCGATAACTTATCACACGCGGTTCGCTTCCTTCGCGAGTGACGAGTCGAACTCGTCACCCGATCAACGACGATCATCAGTCCAACGTGAGCCGGTAAAAAAAGACGCCCATTTCGCGCGAAGATCCGCAGTCTAACGGCGCGTTCAAGCACGGCACATCATCCCCTCGCGCGTGTCCCGACTTCTCTAAAGACTGCAACCATTTCCGCAGAAATTGGCGGAAGATTAGCTCGGTGTGCGAACGGTTGAAGAAGGGGAGTCACGCGGTTCGCTGCTGCTCGGCGTGTACAAACAAACAAGGGTGGTCCCCCGGTCGCTTAGTCCGCGGTGTCACGTGCAGCAGAACAACAATGTGAGGTCGACGCGAGCGTCGAAAGTGTTGGGGACCCCCACCCCCCACCCCCCTACCCTCGGGGTAAATCGTTTGACGATTCTCGAACCGATCCGACGGCGACGTAAATGAGAGGCGCTGGTCGTGTTTTCGACCGCAGGAATGAGCCTGCATGGTGCTCGAACAGTCGGCGACAGTGCGCGGTGCTAGGGTGGTGTTCTTAAGGAGGGAGCGAGACGGGCGAGGTGGTCGCCGCGACGAACGATCGGCCGTCAGTGTTCGCGAAGATAGGCGGCTCGGTGTTGCTTGAGATGGACTCGGTGGCGGTGACGGTGCCACTCCGTCATCCGACGAAAAGGATGAAGAAACGGAAGGAGCTCGACGCGCTCGCGCCCCCGCACACCGTCCCACGCCGCAGCTCCGGGAAACGGAGCTCGCAAGTACGTATAGTCTGCTTGGGGAGCCGATTGGCTCCGGGGTGGAGTCCCTGGAAGTCGACACCTTTCTTCCCCCGTTCCCGGTGTTTGACTTCTCCGTTCGCCGCACGGTGCACGGTTAAATTTACTTCGATCGAGCAGCCGCTGTGTAAACTGCTCCTCCGTCCCAAGTACCGATTCGAGCGACGCAAAGTGTGCGAATAAACGTAAGGAGCAGCGAAGAGATAGGACGCGGTTGAAACGTCTAACGCCGAGCCTTGACGAGCTCGAAAAATCGCTGACGCTTTAGCGGAATGACAAGACCGAATTCACCGCGACCTTTCGCCACGTTTTAATGAAACCGTGTGCCTCTTATTGTACGCGCTTGACTCGAGTAGCTTACTTAATCGTTTCCTATATAAGAGGATCTTCGGATTTCTAATTACTTTCAGATAAATTACGTGAAACCGGTCTGTCTAATCGGCACGGAAGGTTCGGTGTTTTAAAAAGCGACGCGACGTCAATGGATAGCTGGAATTCTTCCCATTAAAACAAGCCTAAACACGATGTAAATTCGATCAATTAACACTTTAATGGCCGCACGCACAACATGTTTGCGATGCTTTAATAATTATGTAGGTGATCGCTTTAATAATTGTCGCACAGAGGAGAAATATTAAATTTGTTGTATTAAATGTGTTGTTATTTTTCGTTTTTGCTTTATGTGTATGCTCGCACACGTTGAATTATTTCAGGAATTTACATAAATATGCGACGTTCGACTGCGTAGACGTGCGGCCATTAAAGTGTTAATAAGCAATCTGTAATAACTAGCACGTCGTTAAATGTAGTACGATTTGCACGATTTAAAATTACTGAAAATCAAATTTTCTTGCATTTGTACTTTTTCCGGACGCTACAGTCTATGTAGGTTTGTCTCCTTTTCAATATCTAGTCTTATAAATCCGTGTAAATTTAACCGTGCACCATTGTACTTTTCCTCTTCATGTCCCCACTCCTCCAGCAGTCCTAAGAAATCAATTTAAATCGAGGTAACAGTATGACAAACCAATTCTTTTTTTGCGAATAATTACTAATCGTTCTCAGCCTTGTTTTTTTTACGTATGCGTCCATCTACTGTACACTCGCGCCTATTTTTACCACATTTAAACTTACGTACAGTGAAACAACTATAAAAACGAGACGCAAGGCCAGAGAGTTTACAAAAATATTTTCAAATAGTACTTCGTTTAGACAAACAAACAAAATATTTTCAAATAGTACTCAATTCAAGCATTAAATGCAAATATTCCAATGTTTACTATTTTATATCAATTTCAAAATTTCTCCAACTCTGGTCTTGGAATATTCGAACACGACGTTAATGAATTTTCAGAAATAAGCGAGTTAAAAACAGTCGACGATTTGGAAAGAGAAGATACGATTATTATCCTCTTCCGAAATTGTCCATTTCTGTGCGCAATCTGAGCGCGAATTAGGGAGAAATTGCTGTATTACGTCCGACTCCTCCCTAAAACCATTCAAACCTTATCGAAGCCGAGTCAATAGTTCGGGGAAATAGTCTACTGGACTTGAACGATATTTTGTCTCGCTGTCTAGACGAGCAACCTTACCCCCTCGTCCACGTCTTATCTTCACACTGACTCCACCCCGAGCTCATCTATAGTCTAACAAATTACACCCGATAGTTTCAGAGAGAAGTTCGTACGGCAGAACCGATGCATCCTTCTCCTCCTGCTTGTCCACTTGTCTACCCTACCGTCACCGCAGAAACAGCCTTTTGTTCACGCCTTTTTCCTGTCTCTTCTGCACCGACTCCGCCCCGAAGCTATAGTCCGATAATGCGGACGTTCAAGAAAAGCCTGCGAAAAGGGGATCCGCTATTTTCTCTCTCTTTCTCTCTCTCTCTCTCTCTCTCTCTCTCTCTCGCATCCAATGTCTCTTCGATCATAAACTTTCCTTCCTCCGCTCTCGGCGGATACCTTATTCTTTCTATTAACCGCCCACGCGTTTCCTCCGTCGTTCCGCTGACTTCTCCCCGAAGGCCGTGCTCTCCGCATTACCAGACAATGGCCATCGATGCGTCACGTGAAACGAGCACGGTTCGTCATTCCGTTCGTTGTCCGTCGCTCGATCTCCGCGGCGCGAGAGAACACGCGCTTTTGTTTCCCGTTTAACCCTCGGGTGGCCGACGCCGGTTCGTTTCTTCACGGCTGCTCCCCGGGATTTCCATAAACGGTCTGGAATGAATTTAGCCGCTCGAATCGCAGCCGATAAACAGGGGCGAATCTTTCCCGGCGATCACCGCGCGAAATAATACGTTCGTCGAGGGCGGAACCGAGGTGTGTTCCGTACGAAAAATGCTTCGCATCGTGCTCGTGTCGAGCTTGAACGAACGCAACGCTGCGATAGAAAATGCAGATCAGTGTTTAAATCGTGATCCGGCATCGGCTGTGCGAAGGTTGACACGCGCTGTTCACTGTGCAACCGCTTTTTCTCGATCGTTTTGTGGTTTTAACCGCGCGACAGCCTCTTCTGGTTGTAACGTACGAAGTGTGGGACGGAAGACAAGCACAAACTTCGACGACAAGGATCTCTGTGACTCGCCAAAGAAATTCGTGATCGTACGAGCCTCGTTTCGCCGTTCTTTAGCCGCGGTTTCATCATTTGTCGTCGTCCGCGCGAGACGCGCTCGGAGCCTGCGATTCGAACGGAAGCATGAAAAGTCCGCGGATCACGTGTACAATCGCGACGCCGACGACTGTCTCGCGAATCGCGGAGCAACAAACGCACCTAATCGGATTCGATGCTTTCTGAACGCGCGAGATCAGCGTTCGAAAGTTCTCTCTCGCTCCAGTTCCAAAGTCGCTCGACGTTTGTGAATCCGAGAATAAAACGTGCACGCTGCGATAACGTTGATCCGGGTTTATTGCTGCAACAGTAAACAGTTGTCTGATCGACGGGATCCGTTAATAGCCCGCGAATACCGCCGAATAAGCTTGCATAATCGCGGACCGCGGAACGCGGTCTTCGACGAAGAAGCCGTCGGCGATATGTTAACAGTATGCCGTCCGGTGGCACCACGCTGGTGCCATGCAAAAGCTATCTGTTGTATGCCGGTGGTACCAATTTGGTGCCATTTTAAAAAACTGAGATAACATTTGAACTATATTTCTTGGGTGTTAAACGGCGGCAAACTAACTATAGCATTGTGCTTATTTAACCTTTTAGGCACGACGCGCCACTATAGTGGCTTCCGCGGAAGTCATCTTTCTGAACGACGCGCCATTATAGTGGCTTACTCTGGTAGCTCGCTCGGTCATCATTTGAGTCAAATAATCGTCTTCTTATGCATTGTTTCACACTTCTTTTGTCTTCACATCGATTTACAATATACAGACTTATCTTAATAATATAACTGTTAACAATATACAGACTTATCTTAACAATATAACTGTTAACAATATACAGACTTATCTTAACAATATAACTGTTAACAATATACAAACTTATCTCAACAATATAACTGTTAACAATATACAGACTTATCTTAACAATATAACTGTTAACAATATACAGACTTATCTCAACAATATAACTGTTAATAATATACAGACTTATCTCTCTCTTAACAATATAACTGTTAACAATATACACACTTATCTTAACAATATAACTGTTAACAATATACAGACTTATCTCAACAATATAACTGTTAACAATATACAGACTTATCTCAACAATATAACTGTTAACAATATACAGACTTATCTCAACAATATAACTGTTAACAATATACAGACTTATCTCAACAATATAACTGTTAACAATATACAGACTTATCTCAACAATATAACTGTTAACAATATACAGACTTATCTCAACAATATAACTGTTAACAATATACAGACTTATCTCAACAATATAACTGTTAACAATATACAGACTTATCTCAACAATATAACTGTTAACAATATACAGACCTGTCTCTTATACACATCTAGATGTGTATAAGAGACAGATATCAGACTCTGCCGTCCAGAGAAATAGCCTCGCGCAGAATTCAGCCGTACCTAAAAGGTTAACTAAGAATTAACACATTAAAGGCGGGGGATCTTGACGAAAGTATGCTGGGTAACGCGGCGACCGCCCCGCCTCGTTTTTCGTCCTAGAGCGGGCGATATTTTGTGTAATCATAAAAAAATTTAGACTTAAAAAAGTTTATTTAAACTCTTAAAACTAAAAGAAATATTAAAAAAGGAACTAAACACTAATCACAAAAAATGTTTTAAAGTACATATTTATGAGAAGTCGAGATAAATCGTAGTACTACGACTCCCGCCTTTAATGTGTTAAGTACGAAAATACTTGGATGACATATCCTCATCATTTTAGGAATTCATATTACCGCCATCTTCGAAATTTTTTTCTAAATCTAAAATTTCCAAGCTACTATGCCGGCGTCAAACCAAAGAACCATATCCAAGATCTGCGGACGGCGTAGCGTTAATTAGAGCAAAGGGATCCTCGGCTGATCCTCGTTGATCCTTTGTCGCGTCGCGTCGGAATCATTTCTTACGTTGCAACCCACGGTCGTCGGGTCATCGAAGATCGACCGTGTAAACGGCTGGAGTTGGCGTTAACGAGAACGGCTGGTCACTGATTTTCCATGAATTTCTAGGAGTTACTATCAGATAGCAGCGATAACAGCGAACTATCGGGATTCTGGAAGGTATCGACTTTAAACGGCGGCAAAGGCAGGGACAGACGAATCCGAGCTTGTCCCGGATTTTTTAAAGCTTGTAGTGCCTTTCTGGCTTGCGCCTCCGTGTTAGCAACCGCTAGTTTAATTTGGCTGTTCATCGATGTCCGTCAGCAACTGACCGCACTTCGGACCGAGCTGGACCAAGGTACTTGACCACACGAATCTCCTGCCTTAGGCCCGGGAACACGAACGACGAGATATCAGAGGCACACGCTAATCGTAGTTACGACGTTCTTTCTCCTTTGTTTGCGAAATTCGGGCGTTGCGAAAGCACCGGGTCTCGAGCCGGGACCCGGCACAGTTATGAGTTCCAGAATAGATAAACGAGCGAAATCGGTCGCGTACGTCGGTTTTATAGCGGGCCGGTTATGCCACGTTTTTTGCGGCTTGTAAATACTAAATAAGATCGGCCGGATAGCGCCGCGCCAGGTAAATCAGCTTAGAACGCGTCCGTCGCCCGCGTCTCTGACACGCTTGCCGACGAGGATCGCGAGCAGCCCGCGTTCTATTGACAAACATTTCGTTATGTGCGCCGAACACGCCGGGATCTGAATCAATCCGCCGAGCCTCCGGGAACGAGGAGAAACACCGAGTTTGCTTTCGACGAAAGTCTTCGAGCGTATCGATGAGCCCGTCATTATTGTTCGGCGTGATCTTGAACCACGAGCGGGTCTTCGAAGTGGACGTTGAAAACCCGATGGGTCCGTTAATGTATTTAACATTCGTTCCTCGAGTTGTCGAGCACCAACACTGCCTCGAACGTATGAACTTTCTTAACCCCTTGACGCACAGTTTTTTTAAAAAAAAACTTGCAAAAAAGTCAATTTTTTTTTAAATGTAAAAAAGCACAATTTAGAACATTGTAAATTTGAAAAATGAACGAATCTGAATATGAATACGCTGTCGGAAAGCGGCTCAGAAGAAAGTGATAAGTATAGTTGTGATTCTGAGGATAGTTCAGAAGAAGATATAGCTTAATTAATTATATACAGGGTTCCCCGGAAAGAATCATCCGATTTCAAACATTTATATTTTAAGAAATTATACACAGAAAATTATAATTCAAACACGAATATAACGGGAAAATGTGTGAGTTTTTGTTTACAAGTGTTCAATATGACTTCCTTTCGTTACACGTATGATATCATTGCGATATGAAAGTTCTTGCCAAACACGGTGTAATGTATCTCTGGTAATTGTTTGTACAGCATCACAAATGCGTTTTTTCAGTTCATTTACACTTGTAGGTAAAGGTGGTACAAAAACAAGATCTTTCACAAATCCCCAAAGGAAGAAGTCGCATGATATTAGGTCGGGGGTGATCTCGGAGGCCAACTGTGTAGAACCATATTATCGGATGAACTGCGACCAATCTAACGGTTTGGTAGTTCCGTGTTAAGAAAATTTCGAACCTCCAAGTGCCAATGGGGTAAAAAGTAAAACTCGCACATTTTCCCGTTATATTCGTGTTTGAATCATAATTTTCTGTGTGTAATTTTTTAAAATATAAATTTTTGAAATCGGATGATCCGGGGAACCCTGTATATTAATTGGAAGTAGATAGCAATATCCAACCAGATCCACATCCTCAAAGGTTTCCATTTGTTACCACCGCTGATTCAACTTTTCTTTCGGTGGAGAATTTTGATATACCGCGCTTTTGTTCCATGGAAAAAGGCTATATTTTATTCTTGAATAAATAAGTGTTATAGCTTACGATCCCATGTAAATGATAAATATCGATAAAAACGATTTTTTTTCGTTGCTTTCACATTGTTATTTTCAATTCTCGATTATATTCGAGTGTGAAAAATTATAATCAGCATAAAATACAACGCCGCTCGAATTATCTCGAGTGTGCACAAGTTTGGCCTGTTTAGCGCGCTCGAATTAACTCGAGCGTACAAGTTAAGGGGTTAATTGCGGTTGCTTAAAACTGCTTGCGAGGTAAAAATAATTACAGGAAAGGCAAATCTCTACGTGCGAAAGGCAAATCGAGAATATAAAATAGAATTTATGACTGTGAATCATTCTACTTGCAACTTCGATTGTACTGAACATGTCACGGTTGTCCGCTCGTATTGATTTCTTCGGAGGTGATATCATCATTGTTTGCAAAGATTATTGGCAGCAGAAATAGTCGATAATGGACACACATGAAAGATTAGTGGTGTACCTAGCCTAGTTTTTCTTTTTCTCTTAACCCTTTGCGGTCGAAGCTATTTAAATTCGAAATCCAAAACATGATTTCTGATCTACAGTATTTCTATTTTATATAATTGATTGCAAATTTATGCGCATGAAATTGAGCCTACTGGCAAGTACAACGCAATTTTAACAGTTTTTTAAAAATATAAACGAGTCTGATGCACTTACAATGATTTCGAAAAATAGTACGCCAATTTTTAGTGGCGCCTCAGAGTCGCCACTCGATTGCAAAGGTTAATCTTCGCTACAAGTGGAACATAAACTTTCATTCGAACGCGGCCCGATGTTACGGAAATCGTTCTGACGTAGACAATCCAATTTCGAGTCAGCAGATTCGCGATCGTTAGAACTGCACCGCGATGGCTAAAAACGAGTTTTACTTGCGAAGATCGCACGACGAAACGTGGTCCACACATTCCCAGAGGCTCGGTCGCGGATCCGTAATTAACCGAAACGGGGAAATACATAATCTGTAATTACTGTATCGCATATTTAATTGTGTTCGCATAATTTTACGTTGGTTTTGCAGTAATAGACGGCAGCCAGAGTGTTCCCGACGCGCTACAAAAATGTCATTCTCTGTCGAGAGACCTCCAGAACAACCAAACCATTATGTTCAATCATTTGTCCGATCTCAAGCTCCAGATCAATAATTTCACTACACAGGTAAACAATTCAACAAGTTCGCGGAAAATTTGATTTCGCCGAATAACGAAACCTCTTCTTTGGAATCGCGCCGCGATTCGCAGAATGACGTTAATTATCGGCTAATGAACCGATGGGACGAAATTATGAACATCATTCTCTATTATACGGGTTATGAATTCAACGCGACGAAGCTATAGGCCCGGGGAATATCGCACGTGCACATAGATCGCGCGTATTCAATCGACTTTTGTATAAATTCGTAAAAATAGAAAGCTTCTCGTAGAACGTTGAGTCATTCAATATACGATAATGCCGTTTCTCCTTCTGCCCGATATAATCGGTGAAGCAATTATTCGATGTACAAATAATCGACTGTCCCACCAATCGATTGACGGTATATTTCTAACGGAGTGTAGAAACGTTCTGACTTTGTTAAAAAGGAAATATTAATTTATCAGGAGACGGTGGATTGCTTATCGGAGTATTTAATCTCTCTTTGAAGATACGAATCAATAATAATCTGAAAGGAACTGCACTACAGTCGAAATATTTTATTTCAATTGATTTATAATTGATTTTATTCTAAATTGCAATGGCAGTAAGTTTTTAAAATATTTTAAGGACATCATTCTGAGAGAACGCTTTGATTTTTAGTTAACTGCTATCCAACGCGACCTACATCAGGTTGAAGAGTGGTTCAAAGCTGAACCCCAACTGGCCAACGTGCCCACAGAATTGAACTCGTTGTCAAACAGTGTAGCATCGTTCGGCAGCCAAATACGAGACTTGAGTGCCACTTTGGATACCCTGAAGGCATCCAACGCGAGGGTACAAGATGTCCAGGCCACCATGTTGCAGAATATTACTAATATCAAAGTCAATAAATGAATAACATTATAACTCTCATCGTGCACATCAACATAAAGTACTAACTTCTTCCATTTCCTGTTGCAGAATACGGTAACAGAACTGTCGAATGTTACCCAGAGACCACAAATGGTGACCACGAATGAAACAAAGATAAAGACTGATGAGTTGAACGCAGCGATTTTGCGGCTGTCCAACAATCTGACTCATGTCAACGAAACTTTGTCGGGAGTGGTGCAGTGGGTCACAGAGGATCAGAAGAAAGATCATGTAAGTATTAAACGATCTTACAGGATGAACCTGAACCACATCAGCAATGTAGTACCAATTCCAAATCTAACACAGATTCTAAGAAACTTGATTGCTGTGCAACAATGAAAACTGGCAGACTATTAATCATCAAATTTTTCAGAAAACACTGGAGTTACTACAGGAGGCCTCGCAGGCCGTCAACATGACCGTAATATCTCTGCAGACATCAGTATCGGCGTCTATTAAGAAATTGAATGACCAAGTACGATCAAATTCAAGCACCGATTCCAGCTCTCGTAAAAAATATTTTCTAACCATTGTTCAATTATTCAGGTGACCCTGATTCACACAGCGAATGCGGATCTGAGCGATAAGGTGAAACAGTTAGAACAATCGCATACTACCCCAAGAAATTCTAGGAGCCCCATGCTCGGTGCGCTAAGAGAGAGTCCAGCGCAGGGACCGAACAAAGCGAGAAGTTTGAAGGAGTCGATCGCTGGGTATGTGACGACCGAGCAGAATCGTAATGGTTTAGGTAAGTTGATTTTAAGGGTAAACGTCTGGTTGGTCAGACGAGTCCACAAATATTTAACTTCGCGGTTAAGAGGCAGACATCGACTGTGCGTAGGGGGACAGCTTTGAAATCGTTGTGTGCTGAAGTCGAGTATCCCACCGTACTGCTTTTGTTTGTCTTCGCTTTAGAAAGTGCCGAGCTAAATTTAATATGATCCTCGATGACTGGTATAATAACTTTCCTGGAGTAAAGCACAGTCTGATTATTTCTTGGGGAATTATTATTCTGAAGGAAATTATTAAGTCTTTTTGTTGAATGAAATTTCATTTTGCAGACTTGAACGAGACGTTGATGAGGAAACCATTGACAGAACGGTCAATAGAAACCCCATAATCTGTGATGACCATGCGTGAGCATAGACTCGCCTGTATGGTTGACATGGTTGCGTTTCCAGGTGCCCGAGGAAGTGTGTATTTGTAAATAGGAATAAATTAAGTATGTTGAAAAATCCATGTACATAGAAAGGTAAATATTTATAGCCTGGATCATGTTAAAATGAGTATTCGTGTCCGAGCATGAGCTAGGGAATGCTATTTATAACGAGCAATAACGTATACGTGCGCGCGCGCGCGCGTTGATCTAGCTGCGTGTCGAGATGTCAAATACTATGTATTTGAACCGTGTATCTCGAGGAAAACAACAGCAAAAGTAAAGAGACGAATACAAGTCGGAGGATGCAACTGCCCCGAGTGTTTCAGATATACCATCGAAAAGTACAAAGAGTGTTTACACTTGTCCCTTCGCGAAGTCGAAGATTCGCGTCGTTTCAGCGTGCGTTGTAATCGTGAGACATTTTTTCTACTCTTCTACCGTTTGTAGATCAGTCGTAGGCCATAAATTTGCCAAAACGTCCCGGCAATGTTAGCGGTGAATACCGGATTTTAGCAAACTCTGAATTGTTAGAACCTGTTGTTTCAATTCCGTTTATTCATAGAACGATGTGGGGAACCTCGAATGCCAAAGCGAAGTGTTCTGTAACCGTTTTCGTTTTGTTTCCACCGAACAAACAGTGGAAACAAATGTCTTGACCTTTTTGTCTCTTGTACAGGATGATCCATCTCAATGTACAAATTGATATACTTTGAAAAATACATGAAACTGGAAGAAAATGAATTCGAAAAGGTACCGGGAAAAGGAAGAAAATGCGAATGACTTTGTGACGGTCTTGGTCTTTATACATATTTAACCTTGGCGCTAGATACTTACAATTATAATACACAAAAAGTTTCATCCTTCAGTGTAATGTATTTTTCGAGGTACATCTTTTTATGAAACGTTAGTGGGAGCTGCATTATTGAATTCATATCTACTGTATTCCGTAACGGGCCGTTAATTAGCGCCATTATAATTTAGATGCACCCTAATATTGGTTGCATTATGTAAGTGAAAAATGCACGTTGATTTCTCTGTATTCTGCTTGAATATGTTATATAATGGTTACGCGTGTAATCGTCGAGTGAATTGTAGCTATTGCGGATATATTTAAACAAACGTACATACGTCCATTCTAGGGAGGAACGAAGGATTGTATTCGCATTGAAAGAGAAAAGGCGATTATGATTATTAAATGACGGACTACGAGGGAAATATCACGATGAAAATTATATGAATTTATAAAACGGGATCTGCGGAGTGCAAAATAAAAAAAAAATGACACCGTCGATGTGTGAATAAAGATTTGATTGTTCAAATTTCATTATCCGGTTGTCTTTCCATCTCCTATTGCCGATTTCAGTCACAAGCGTTATTATAGTACGACACGCAGACGTTTGTTTACTCAGCTGTAATAACGACCGATGCCAAAACTCCCACAATTTTCTGCTACCATTATGAAACTAAACTACCGGTAGAATAATCTAACTTTTAAAATTTCATAGCAACTGGCCAATTTGTTGCAAACATTTCAAAACGCTCAACAATGTTTTATCATTATGTTGTATCCCTCTTAATCTCACAGATTAGATTTTAAGAGAGTTGGTAACTGATCTACAGCATTTCGAAAAAGTAATCTATACTCTTCGTTGATCTCCGTCTGTTTACATTACTTCTCACTTATAAATCATTAATCAAACCAAGAGGATCGAGGAACTGAAAAATTCTGATTTTTTCTTTTATATATATATATACATTATCGTAAATACTTCTTTCATTTACCGTACGCGCAAATACTTCTTTGTTCCAATGATTTAAAAGTCCGTACAACCGGAAGTGTAGGTGACAGCGAGATCGCTGGACGTCCTTGCAGTCGCTTCAAACACTTTGATCGAACACTGTCTGTTCGAACAAGTTGTTAGCAGTGTTACAAAGCGAAGATAAAGTGCGGAACGAGTTCTGGATAGAGGATTGCTTGAATAAAAACGACGTTAAAGAATTCTTGACGTCTCGACGCGTCCCAAAGGATAACGGTGGCTTAACTATCACGGACGTTCGCTTTTATCGCGAGCCTTTGCTGTTTGCTGGTTTAGAGGAAATAATTAAAAGGGCATGGAAATCGATATGCATCCGGGCTGGTAAACCGGAACAAGGCATCGACCGGTTCGATAAAATTGCAAGGCAAGTGCATCGTGCTGTTGTTGGCCCCTGTCGTGGCCGCTATCACCGCTATTGCGTGGTCTGCGTTTGACATCTGCGCATTTCTCACGCTCGCCATCGAGGAAAAATCAAAACAATCAATATGGCGGACCCAAGCAACGAAGCTGCATCGTCGAGTAGCGTTACGGAGCAGGCTCCATCGGCCACTCCAATTCGCGACGACCTCGAGAAAATCGAGGATTTCCTCGAGCCCGACAAAAAGCGTCGAAAATCCTCGCGGAACGATGGGAAAACCGAGCAAAAGTTGGAACACCGCCTGGGCGGCATCCTCTGCTGCGCAGTTTGTCTCGATTTGCCCAAGGCAGCCGTCTACCAGGTAAGTCTTTTGACATATACATCCTTTTCTTTCCATCAGTTTTTCGAGCATTGTTTCACGAGTGATCGGTGCGATGATTGTTTACGAGTATGTACGTCTCGCCCATCGGGATTCTCCGTGTCACTGTCCATTGTTACGATTATGATTCCCTTTCCATCCGACATTTTCACCCGGGGTCGATCACTGCGTATTTCTCGTTGTTCCGTTGTGGACACGTATACAGAGCGTCCGGCGACGGACGAAAGTAAATTTCATGGTCGCTCGTTGATTCTTTGTGACAATGCGAGGCGAAAGTCAAGAGTAGAGAAGTTGCGATTTCGTTCTTGTTTTCGTGTTATTCGCGATTGAAAATCGTTCCGATCGACCAATAGTAGAACTCGTAAGTAAGATTAGAAAGAGCGCAGCCAGAGTGGTGTAGCATGGGAGAAACAGAAATGGTAAACTGGCTCGCACGCTCCTGATGCAGGACTTCAATTGTTAATAACTTGAAAACGAAAACGACGTTGCAATTTATTTGCCTTTAATTCCCGTCTCACATTGTAAAGCATCGTTTGTCGAATTTCTTCACACCTGTTGTCGACTACCCTTTATATAAACATAATACTCAATATAAAGAAATTATCGGATAAACATCAGTTTTACCTGTTTTGCAGTCGTATTTTCTTGTTTTCGGATGATACCAGCCGTGACACAGCAAAGTTAGGCATTAATTGATTGAAAGTTTTAAAAAGAGTTAGTGATAATAAATATTATTTTAGTTGCATTAAACATTGCCCACCCCTGCGAGACAATGACCAATTTTGTCGTTGAAACGGTACTTAGAAAGACATTCCCGATTATAGTCTGTTTTTCGAAAATAAATACTTGAAATAACATCAGCAATCATAATAGATGTCCATTCTATTCCTATAACACCCATGTTACATGCCATAGGTAGAGAGGACAGGTATTATGATTATCGACGCACCTCGAGTCTCTTCTTTCTAAAAACAGTTGATCTTATTAGAACCCCCTTAGCCCATTAATGCCCAAAATTTTTTCTTTTTATTTTTAAATGTTTTTATTTGTTGTAAAATTTATGAACGTAATTTAAAATAGTTTTACACTGTTGGGATATTTTTGAAAGTTGTTCGATTAAGTGTTAGGGTACTGGGTGTTAATGGGCTCCAATACACCCTACTATCACTTAATCTTTATACTGGCTAGTCTGTAAATATAAAAGAGTCTAATGGTATATGGGAAAAATTGAAAATATATACTGTGAACTTTTACCTTATACTATAGTCAAGTATAGTTTGTTTATTTGTGCTACACGATATCACTGGTTTGGATCCTATTACACTTAAGTTGGATTTTTGATTGATTAACAATGGTTGTTAAAACTATGTTTCTGTGTTGGATTCTTTCTCTCTCACTCTGCCCATTTTTCTTATCTTCCTTTTTCTCTTGACGATTACAACATGATTTTTAAATAGTTTGTCCTTTTGTTTTTCTAGTGTTACAAGGGGATAAGTTTTAGTTGTAATCGTATAAAATGTTAAAAAGAAGAGAAATATATATATGTACATATTTATTATCAATATATAATTTTCTTAA